ATAGTTCCACACACAGAAAATAAAAAGAACACGTGCGATGGCTCACCTGGTAAGACACTTAATATCATGAGTGATGACCTAAGTAGAGGATGAGAACTGGCTGCCACAGATTATTCTCTGACCTACACATGTGCTACATACATATGAACACAGAGAAGGCGGGTTAAAAAACAATTCAAAGAGAATGTTCATTCCTCTTCCAAAAAGTAGGGCACAGCATTGAGTGCCCACAAACAAGATGATGAGGGACAGAGCTCCCCCTCTTTCTCCTACCACCCAACAAAATCCACAAACCTTAAGCTCTGGTTTTCAACTCACAGAGAACAAAGCACCCATTATGTGTTGAACCCTGAACAGCGCTCTACTACAAGCCCTTGGGAAGCTGAGGCACAAGGCTCAGAAGTTCAAGGCCTCCCTGAAGTACAAAGACAACTTGTCTTAAAACCCAAACAAAAAGACAAGTCCCGGTGTGGTTGGTGATGATCTTAGCCCTGCAGAGGCAGAGGCAGGAGGATCACGGTGAGTTGGAAACCAGCCTGCTTTACATAGTGAGCTCCAAGACAGCCAGCCTCCAAAACAAACAAACAATAGATGGTAGCAATGGTCGTGGCATGGCGTGTATGCATGCTGTATGCCCAGAACATCCTAGCTACTTTCCAGTTCATTGTTGAGTGGATGATCATATCCCCTGAAACTCAGCGCAGCTGTGTTCCCAATCTACTGTTAGGATATTGAGGCCTGAAGAGGTAGGACAGCATATCCAAAGCCATCCAGATCGCTGTCCTGGAATTCACTCTGTAGACCAGGCTAGCCTTGAACTCAGAGATTCGCCTGTCTCTGCCTCCCAGGTGCTGGGATTAAAGCCACGTGCCACCATCTCCTAGCTTCATCCAGACATTAAAAACAAAATTCACCCTGTATTTAGGATTGTCTGCCTTCTCCATACAGAAATCCCCAGTTAGAGCTTGAGGAGATATAGAACACAGAGGGAATTAGGTGTGGATGTCCAGCTTTCAAAGACAATAGACACATTTCGAGCCCAGAAAGCTGGGAGACATAGTAGTCACGATGTAGCCTGTCATTCCAACACTAGAATGACTGAGGCAGGAGGATTATAAATTTGAGGCCAGGCTGGGATACTTCTTGGCTAAGCTGCATTAAGAAAGAGGGGGCTGGGGAGAAAAGAAAGAAAGTGAATTGAGCAGGGTCCAGAAGATGGCTGAGAAGGCTCCCTGGGGGTGGAGGAGGTTAATTACCTAATAGGCTTAATGGTCTGATTAGGCCATTTTAAGAGGATTGGTTTGGGCTCAATAAAACCCTCTTATTCTTGACTTCCTCCTCATACTTAAAGGCCACCTCCAGCCACTGTGCCCCACACAACCATACAAAACATATTGGGAAACCAGAACTCTCACTCTGAAGGACCTGAGCTGAGGTGGGAAGCACTCAGCACCTCCCCATCCAGAGCAACTTCATTTAGTTTGTGTTAAGGATGGAACTAAAGACCTCGAACATGGTAGGCAGGTCCTCTACAGGGGTACATCCTAGGCAGGGGCTCTACCACCGAGCCACACCTCCTGGCTACATACAACACTTCTCTTTTATCTGCTCTGGGAGGCAGCTTTGATCACCATATTACCAGTTGGGGTTTTGTGTTTGATGGTAAAAAGCAGGCATCCTATACTTAAAAGAAAAGGTTGAAATCCCTCAGGGAGAAGAAAAGCCTTGGAAGCAGAATGGCTCAACTCCCTTTCTTTTCTCACTCCTTATGCTAAGCCTACTGTATGCTGTCACATGGTGCAGGAGACCCAGAGGTGCACTCTGTTGAAGTGGTCTATAATGGCCCTGTGTGACAAATTGCTCTAGGGGTACGAAGCAAGGCGTGAGGGAGAAGGAGGGCTCTTCAGTCCTCAGCGCTCCAGAAAAGATGCCAGGCAGAGAGTATCCGAGGCGGCCCTGAGGTGGGATGGAACAGGGAGTGCTTGAAGAAATGAAAGGACAGTGAATCTGGAGCCCATGGGTGGTGAAGAAGTACGGCTGAGTAGTAAGGCCGTATCCTAAAAGGTCTTCCAGGGAGAAGGCTGCAGAGTTGTCATCCTGGCAGCACCTAAGAGTTAAGTTAGAGATTTGCCTTGAGGAGGCATTAACTAGGCGTCTTACTTACGTGTGACTGCCTTCCTGAGGACGCTGCTTTAGAAGAAGGGATGCCCAGGGGCCAGCAAGTTGGCTCGTCGGGTGAGGATGCTTGCTGTCACGCCTGAGGACCTGAGTTCAATTTTTGGGATGCACACAGCGGAAGGAGAGAAGTGACTGCCGCAAGTTGTCTTCTGGCCTGTGTGGATGAGTGTAGCCTGGTCAGCGAGTTCCAGACCAGTAAGAGATTCTGCCTCAAAACCCAACACTGTCCCATGTGCTCCTCTGGCCTCCACACGTGTGCACCAGCCTACATGTACGCATCCACCAGCCGTGCACAGAGACAGCCCCCAATCCAGCTCTCCACCACTCGGCCGTCATTGCTCCCTAAGTCAGCCCGCTGTCGCTCACCTTGAGCACCGGCTCCCTCTCATAAGACCCACCTCCTTCGCCTTTGCCCTACAGTCTGCTCCTGGCACAAGCACAAGGGATCTTCTTGTTTTGTCTTGCTTTCGAGAGAGGGTCTCGTGGAGCCCAGGCTGGGCCCAAACTCACTGCGTAGCCAAAGGCAACCCCGAACTCCTGCCTCTACCTCCCAAGTGCTGGGATTACCAGTGAGCACCACCTCACTCAATTTCTGTGGTGCTCAGGGTGGAACCCAGGACTTCATGCATGGTAGGCAAGCCCCTATTGTATCCCCAGCCCAAAGGAATATTCTTAAATTAAAAAAAAAAAAAAAAAAAAAACACTTAAAATATCTTACAAAGCCAGGCATGGTGGCACATACTTTATGTAGCTCCAGCACTTGGGAGACAGATGCTGTCAGATGTCTATGAGCCTGGTCTACATCGTGAGTTCCAGGGCAGCCAGTGCTGCATAATAAAGAAACCCTGACTTGAGAACAAAACAAAACTAATGTTTTTGCTTATTTGTATTTCTGTGTGTGCGCACACGTGAACGCTCCACGGCTTTACAGATGAGAAGATAGCTTGCAGGAGCCAGCTCTGCCCTTCCACAAGGTGTGTCCTGAGTATTGCACTGAAGTCATCGGTCTTGGCAGCAGACTCCTTTTGCCACTGAGCCATCTTGCTGGGCCCAGAGGAATATTCTCAAACTTTAAATTAGTTCACACCGCCTTGAGCCTCCCATCCCACTTGGAGTAAGAGCCAAAGATGTCACTGTGGCCCACAAGCCCCAGCACCCCACCGTCACCACCATCTTCTCCTCTCCCTACCTCACACACAGCCTCCTTGATTTTCCCAACAACTCACATCCCATCCCACCCGGGGCTTCACATGTGTGATGGGGCGTGGCTCCTCCTCTTTACCTCAATGATAATAACCCAGGACATGACTCCAGGCTGAGTTCACATTTCAGCTCAGCAGCCTACCAGCTCAGTGACTCTGGGATGATTTCTTAGCTTCATGTCTTCATCTGCAGAATGGATTTCTTTATAGGAACAATGTGAAAATCAAAATAACTGATGTTTGTAAAGTACTTCAGGTGGAATCGGGTATTTATCAGGTGCTACCAATGAATAAAATATGCCTACTCGGTGCTGGGCATAATGGCCAGAGGCCTGTCACCTCAGATACTCTGGAGGCTGAGGCAGGAGACCCCCAAGTTTAGTGCTTCCTTGAAGTACAGAGTGACTTTAAAGCCAGTCTTGGGCAACCTGGTGAGACCCTATCCCCAAAATTAAAAAGGGGTCTGGGTGTGGCTCAGTGGTAGAGCGCCTGCCTAGAATCCCCCAGTGAAAAGCTGGGATGTGGCTCAGTGGTAGAGCACCTGCCTAGAATCCCCCAGTGAAGGGCTGGGGGTGTGGCTCAGTGGAGAGCTCCTGCCTAGAATTCCCCAGTGAGGTGCTGGGGGTGTGGCTCAGTGATAGAGCCCCTGCCTAGAATTCCCCAGTGAGGGGCTGGAGATGTGGCTCAGTGATAACGTACTTGCAAGAGACCCTTAGTTCAGTCCCCAGGTGTCCTAAGCAGTAAAAGAAGTTGTGTGGCTCGTGAGGGCTCTGCATTCTTGGGAAGGCAGTTCCTGGCCCTCGTACCTCACTTTACACTCCTCTGCCCTCCCCATTCTTTTTCCTGCTTCCTCCTATCTTGCATGAACTATAGCATGTCTCCTCTCTAGAAGAATGTAATTGTCTAAGCTCTAGCTTAGATTATGCAAAGTCTCATGACCTTATTTGTACACAAAATGAGGGAAGCCTTTGCTGGTCCCTTGATGGCTGTTTCCCCACACTAATGCCAAGTATGTACATAAGCAGGTGCTCAGTCATTGTTTGTTGAATGAATGAATGAATGATTCCTGAGGACATAGCTTGATCAATAGAGTGCTTGCCTAGCAGGCAAGTGGACAATGCCGAGTTCCATTCCCAGCACCACGTAAATCAAGTATGGTGGTGCACTCCTGTGATCCCAGCATTGGGAGATGGAGACAGGAGGATCAGGAATTCAAGACCATCCTAGCTACATAATTTGAGACTAACCTGGGCTATCTGAGAGCCTATCTCGAAAAAATAAAAATTGAATGTAGGTCAGGCATGGTGGGGCACACCTTTAATCCCAGCACTCGGGAGACAGGGGCAGGTGATCTGTGATGTTGACACCAGCCTGGTCTACATAGAGTGTTCCTGACCGGCCTGGCTACATGGTGAGACTTGTTGCAAGAAGAGAAAAAAAGAAAGTGAGTGAATGAAGATAGTTCTATGCTATCTTTCATGCTGCTGCCACAGTGGTCATGGCGACAGTGTGGAGCTGTGATTTCCCTTTTGTGCCCCATGCTGGGAATCTCCCTGGTAGTGCCTTCCTAGAGCGGGACCCCTCCCTCGCTCACTCACTCCCGTCCTCTATACCCTGCAGAGGAAGGCGAGTACTTCCTGAAGGTGCTCATCCCCAGCTACGCAGCCGGCTCCATCATCGGCAAAGGCGGCCAGACCATCGTGCAGCTGCAGAAGGAGACGGGAGCCACTATCAAGCTGTCTAAGTCCAAAGACTTCTACCCAGGTAAGCCGCAGACACGCCGGCTGCCTGAGCTGGACCTCTCTCTTCTCTCCACTTTCCTGAGCCCTGGGTGTGAGGAAGGATTGCATTAGGGACAGTTGGGGGGTGGGAGGGGCAGAGCTGCCTTTCCTCCCCTTAGAGAGTCTGAGCTGCCTGCAGCCCAAGGGGCCTGGCCTGAGCAGATGGGGATGGGGGCAGGGCCAGACAATGAGCTGCTGCATATTCATGGACTTATTTGCATTATGCCAGGCAGTTGTGTCCTTCCCACACACCTGCCGCCTCCTCTGGTCAGTCAGTTGGAGCAGCCAGGGTGGGGAGGGTAGCAGGTGTCGGAGGAGGGGTTTGGTGGGGGCAAGCCATCCCATTTGCTCTGTCCATTTGGACTTGTTACCCCAACTTGCATCCAATTTACTCTCCTCTGAGTCGTTTTAATTTTTTTTCTTTCTTCCCCCTCCCCCCTTTGAGGTAAGGCTTCATGTAGCCCAGGCTGGCCTGGAGCTTCCTCATGTAGCTGAGAGTGACCTTGAACTCCTCATCCTGCTTCCTCCTCCGAAGTGCTAGGATCACAGTAGTCTGCCCCATACCCAGTTTGCTTTCTTGGGGCATTTTGAACGAGACATTTCACCCTGTAGCCCATTCTGGCGTGCAGCTTCCACCCCTTCCCCTGCCTCCCAGTGCTGAGATCGCAGACACGCTCTGCCATGCCCTGCCTGATGCTTCTCGCACATCTGTTTCTGCCCGTCCCCACCTTTTGTGCCCTTCTGCATCTCTCTGCCTGGGACTGCCCCTCTCTCTAGGGATTTGTCTGGGTATTCCCATCTCCCGTCCTCTGAGGCTCTCATCCAGTCCATCTGTCCTTCTGTCTGCCATCCCTTTCAGCTCCCCCCGACCCCCACCCCGGTCTCCCTTGGTTTTCCTGCTCCACCCCCTCACCACCGCCGCCCCTGCCTCAGAACTTCATTTGACTCAACCTAACAGCCATCCTGGGGCGGTGGAGGTGGTCAGCCCACTTCAGGTGTTTGCTCCCCTCCTTGGGCTCTGGCCTCTGCCTCTCTTCACTTCTCTCTGCCTCCCTTTATGTAGCTCCCTTACAAAGTCTTAGCTGTTCCTGTTCCTTTCTTCACCGAATTCAGCCCAGCCCACTCTCTGCCTCTTCTTAGACTCCATCTTGGTCCCTCTCAACTGCATTTCGTAAGACAAGGTCTTATGAAGCACAGGCTCACATGTACTGTAATGACAAGGATGACCTTGAACTCCTGGCCCTCCTGCTTACGTGCTAAGATTACAAGCAATGTACGCAGTGTGGGCTCGCTCACACTCGGGGCTTCACTCACTCTGCACTCAGCCACATCCTCAGCCCCTACTACATATGTTTAAACAACTCTGCTCCCTCCAACACCCTTCAAAGTCTCTCATCCCTCCATTGCTCCCTCCCGAGATCAGAGCTTGAGGTTTGGCCTTTAGGAATCCCAGGAAGGGCTCCAAAATTGCATCTAGTATACTGTACGCTGCTGGTTCTAGCTCATCCTTAATCCTCTTGGATTTTTTACTTTTTTAGGTCAGACACCAGAGATGTAGCACAGGGTTTGGATGGCTCCCTCTCCCTCTCCCTCCTCCTCTCCTTCTCTCTCGCTCCCTCTCTCTCCTTCCCTCCCTTTCTTCCTCTCTTCCTTTTCCTCTCCTCCTCCCTTCCTTGCCCCTCTCCTCTTTTTGTTTCTCTCATTTTTATTTCCTCTTTCTCCTCAATCCTCCCTTTTTCTCTCTCTTTCCTTGCCTCCTTTCCCCTTCCTCCCTCTCTCTCACTTTCATCCTCCCTCCTGCCTTTCTCTCTATTCACTCTTCTCCTCTTTTCCCATCCTTCCTTCCCCTTCTTCCTTTCCCTTTCTCTCTCCTCCCCTCCTCCCTCTCTCCCTTTCCTCCCTTTCATCCTATCCCTGCTCACTCCTTCCCCCTCTCTTCTGTTCTCTCTCTCCTTCTCTCCTTTCCCTTTCTTCCCCTCTCCCCTGTCTTCTCACTCTTCCCTCTTTTCTTGCCTTCCTTCCTTTTTCTCCCTCTTTCCCAGCCCTTCTCCCTTTTCCCTTCCTCCCTCCTCCCTTCCCCCTGTCCTCCTCCCTTCCTTCCCTGCCTCCCATCTCACTAAGCTGCTTTGACCAAGTGTTTTAGAGAAAAATATAGTAACCCAGGCACCCTACCTCCTTTTCTCAGCCATCGTGGCCCAGTTTCCTCTTTCCCCTTCTAGTCCACACCATGTGGGTAAGACCTTTCTGCCCAGGACATCAGTCTGAGGACATTTGGCTCCTTGCCTCTGCATTACATTCTGTGCTATGAGATGGTGACATTCCCTCCTCCTAACTCTGCTTCACCCCAGGGCCAGGCTACTGAGACACCCAAAAGATAGGACAGTCCTTGATGCTCCTGGAACATACGCTGTGCCCACTAGCTAACCAATGTGTGGCTCCTCTCTCCCCACCTCACAGACAGACAGACAGACAGCTCCTGACATGAACCATGCAAGAGTTAGAGCAAGGCTGTCCCCCTAGTCAATGACATGGATGTGGCTTCTCCTAGCCCCACCCTGCTTGTATCCCTAGGAACCCAGAACCCAGAACTGTTACTACTACATGACTCTGGGTGTGTTTCCTTGGGCTCCTAACTGACATCCTTCACACATTCTCCACCTCTGTGACCCCAGCTGGACAGACATTTAGACACAGCAGTGAGAGAAGTCCAATCTTGTTCTCTTGGATCTCAAGCCAGGGAAACAGAGCCCTCACTGACAATGACACATAGTGGCCAGAGAGCTAGAACAGGAAGGTCAGACAACGATGGGAGCTGACACAAGCGTTTGCCCAGACCAGGGAGGACAGAGCAGGTAGGGCTTCGTGGAGAAGAAGCCTACAACAGGAGCTTCAGGTGAGTTAGGGAGGAGTAGAGAAGGGACTCTGAAAGAGCCACACAACAAAAGCTGGGAAGTGGTTTGCTCTAAGGTAGGGCTAACACTTTAGAAACAGGAGAGGAAATGACAGCAGAGAAAGGGTGTCACAGTGCAAGACTAGGCCAGATGGGACGGGATGGCGTGGGCCTGTGCTCCCAACTACTCAGAAGGCTGGGCTAGGAGGATCACAGGTTCAAGGCCTGTGAAAGACCTTGTATCAAAGTAGGGAAAAAAAAAGAAAGGGCTGGGGCATGGCTCGCGGCTTAGGATCAGAGTCCCTGCCTAGAATTCCCGAGTGAGGGGTAGCAGACCTACGTTAGTGCTAGAGGCATTTGCCTAGCATAAGCAAGGTCCTACAGGCCCTTCATCCCCAAGAACAAAAAACCAAAAAGCCAATGTTGGTCCTTTTGGGTCTCTCATGATGAAGCAAGGAACTGGAAGGCAGCAAGTCCTGGCCCAAGACCCCAAAGACTCCTGACCACATCACTTTCCTCAGAAAGCTAAAACACTCCCATAGTTGTAGCATCTGTAAAGAGCTCTGGACCTGACTCCCAAGAGCAAAACACGAACACACATGTGGTGATCTTCATAATTATTACTGATTTATAACATAGCTGCACCAAAGTACAAAATCTTAACTATCTACCAAATGACTCCATTCATAGTCTTCCTTAAGATTAAAAGCAAAGCGTCAAAGCTGGGGAGATGGCTGAGTGATTAAGAACACAGGCTGTTTTTCCAGAAAACCCAGGTTCAGTTCCCAGCACCCTGCATGGTGGCTCTCAGCCCTCTATAGCTGCAGCCCATCAGACCCTCTTCTGAGCTCCGTGGGCACTGCAGGAATACACATACATGCTGGCAAACACTCATACACATGAAACGAAGACAAATACATCTTTAAAAGCAAAGCTTCAGGACTGGAGAGATGGCTCAGCAGTTAAGAGCACTTTCTGGTCTTTCAGAGAATCTGAGTTCGACTCCCAGGACCCACATCAGAGAGGTACCTGTACCTGTAACTCCACCTGTAACTCCACTTCCTGGAGATATTGCACTCTTTACTAGCACACACACGCACACAAACACACAAAAACAAATCTAGACAAAACACTGTTTATAAATAAATACAAGATAAAAGCAAAGCTTTTGTTTTGTGTGCCCTCCATACTGCTCCTTTGAACTCAGGCATGCATTCGTGTGCACGCACATACACACACACACACACATGCGCGCGCGCGCGCGCGCTCATAGAGCTAATAACTCAAAAGGAACCTCCGATTTAGCACCGGATGGATTGGGATGAAGAGCACAGAACATACATTAGGTATGGTGGCATATGTGCATCACCTTAGTACTTGGTAAACTGAGGCAGGAGGATGACAGGTGCTGGAAAAGAGCCAGACATTTGTGATCAAAAGGCCTGATGATGAACTAGGGAAACAGCGGATCTGGTAAAGTACCGGCCATACAAATATGGGTACCTGAGTTCAAATCCCAGAGCCCAGGGCAAGCCAGGTTCGGTTAGGATATGTCTGTAATCCCAGTGTTTCCATGACTACATGGGAGCCAGGTAGAGGAGAATCTCTGAATGCTTGTGTGGGAGCTAGTCTGGCCTACCACGTCCTGGGGAAGAAGACACCCTACCTCAAGTGAAAGAACCAATGCCCGAGGTGGTCCCCTGAATCTACACACACATACACATAGTCTCTGATGATTCTGTACTGCCTGGGTGATCTGGGACAAGACTAGAGTCCTCTCTGTGTCCTTAGCAGGAAGGACATCAAAGCAACCAAGACACAGCCTACCTCCTATGTCAAGTGAACGGTGCATAGACTAATACCAGGTCCTCAGAACCGTGCCCGGCGCTGAGCGTTACGTAACCAGCAGCTGTTATCACAGAACACTTTTTCAGGGTTTAACAGGGTCCCCTTGTCAGACTCCTGCGGACCCCGGGGTAAGAACTGCAGGGGGGTGGGTGTGCAGACTTGGAAGCCCTGCAGAGACGGCCACCCCGGGGTTCCCTGTCTCCCCACCCTCATTCCCAGCCCGACCCACACCCTTTCCTATTTACACCCAGACAGAGGCCGCCTCAGCTGACTCACCCCTTGGCCCAGACCAAGCTATTGTTCTTGGGTGGAATGGGGTATAAAAGTGAGGGCCATGCTGCTGAGGACAAGGGTATGGGCTGGCAGCATGGCCACCAGACAGGAGCACCCCAGACACACGGCAGGACTGAAGGGCCAGGCTGAGAGAAAGAACCACAGGTCAGGGTTGGACTCCCAGGACGCTGCACCGGAGCACTCCACAGACAATGGCACTCAGCACTAAGTGTCCCAGACGCGCAGGCACAGGACCTGGCACACATTCAGAAACCTTTCACAGACCCAGCAAGCTGACTCTACAAGCTGCGTCCCTCCTGGGGACAGAGACACTCACACATCACAATAAAAGGCCCAAGCACACCAAGGCACGCGCATTACCACGCAGCTCAGGTACAGTCGGGAGTTCTCTGTCTCTACAGTGTACACACCTGGAAATGTTCACACATGCTAGTACACATGCCGTCCAAGCAGCACTGTACAAACACATTCACACAGCCTGCGAGAGTGGGTCCTCCGTGTGTGTGCCTGTGTGTGCGCGTGTGTGCAGGTGTGTACACTAATATTTTCACACCCCGTGCCCATCATTCAGACAGCCCGGGGACACCTAGAGGTGTGCACTGTCCTTTTGTCTTGTTCCCACAGCTGCAGATGCACTGCCAGTGGACAGGGTTCTGTCATTGCACAGCCTCTGTTGCTTACATGATCAAGTCTTCCTACTCCAAACTGTTACTTCAGTTATTATCTGTTTTGGTGTGTGTGTGTGTGTGTGTGTGTGTGTGTGTGTGTGTGTGTGTGTTGCTGGGGATTGAATCCAAGACCTTGTACATTCTAGGCAAGTACCTGACTGAGTTATACCCATAATCCAAATTGGGGGATTCTAGGCAGGAATTCCACTGCTAAGCCATACCCCAACCCCTCACTGGGGAATTCTAGGCAGGTGTTCTACCACTGAGCCACACCCCAGCCCCTCATTGGGGGATTCTAGGGCAGGTGCTAAACTATGCTGCAACACACAGTATGTTTCTATTGCAATCTCTTCTGGTCTTTCCCTTAGACACACATCCAAGATGGTCATCTTCCCAATCCTGCCCAAGTACACAGAGATACTTACTCCCCCAGGCAGCCTCACAGGTACACAGATCACAGTGTCATCCAGAGTTCCCACTCCCCCACACCCTCCCCCTCCCACCCCGTGTATATTTTAGCATCACCCAGATACTCTTATTCCCTTCCCTAATACACACAAAGAATGCCAAATCAGACCTGCAGCCAGTACCTGGAAGATCTCCAGAAAGGGCAGCTGGCTACCCCACCCTTTATTCCTAGTCTCTTGGTCCCTATTCTCTTAAGTGTTGCCTTTGACCTCGATTGCTCTTCCCCTAGCCACACCCCTGCCCTCCCCCACCCCCCAGCCCTCCATCTGGTGGGTCTAGGTTCGCACTGTAGCCTCTCTTCTGCCTTCCCCATCCCCCCACGTTTTCCCCATCCTCTCCAAAAGCCCAGAGGCCAGGCGCTGTAGGCTTTCAGCGGTTGCCATGGCAACCGAGCCTCATCCCTCATCCCCCTGGGGGTGGGCTGAGGACCGGGCCAGCCAGACCTGATAAGGGGGTTCCAGTTACTGTGGCAACCGTTTCGGGCTTAAGCTCTCTGCTTCTGGAAGGGGGGTGAGTGGCGAGTGAATGGTTGCCACAGCAACCTGGGGGAGCCCACAAGAACTGGGAAGAGGCAGCTGAGCCCTACCTCCCATGCCCAGGGCTGCTGTGGGCACTTAAGCATCATTCTTCCATTCCCCGGGGTTGTTTTAGGGGAGGGAGATAAAGTACAGATTATAAAACAGGGATTCCATTCATTCTCCCAGCTAGCTATCCCCCATGGACCAGTCCCCCACATCAGCTGCCCCAGACTCACTCCCCAGACCTTGACTTTCCCTTTCCATTAAATGGAGCCAGCCTGTCAGGAATGTCTCTATTGCTGTCTGACGTATGTGCCCTCCTCTGTCCCTTGCTTAACAGGAACTACTGAACGGGTATGCCTAGTACAGGGCACGGCAGAGGCCTTGAATGCCGTCCACAGCTTTATCGCAGAAAAGGTCCGAGAAATCCCTCAAGCGATGACCAAGCCTGAGGTGGTCAACATCCTTCAACCCCAAACTACGATGAACCCCGACAGAGCCAAGCAGGTCAGCTGGGAACTGACTGTTTTTCTATAAAGCTGGTGAGGTCCCTGCACAGTGGGTTCTGTTAGATAAATGATAACGTTCCTCAAATGCCTGCTAGTGGTTAATGTTCGGAAATCAGCTCCAATAGTTTAGAAAAGGCTCCACATTTCTTGGCGGGGCTGGATTCGGAGGGCCTGGAGATCAACACTGGCACCCTCCCGTTCACCCATCCTCCGGGAGATGCTCCCTCTCCTTTCCTTTGCATCCTTGTCTCTCAAAGCAACCTGCCTCCTATTTCCTGTGTTCACCGGAAGTGACTTCAGTGCGAGCCCAACCCCTCCAGAATTTTAGAAGCAGCCTCTTTATCTCCCTCCTCTCTAATACCCATTATGGGGATAGAGATAGTGTTTTGCTTAACGAAAGGGAGGGGCTGGTCTCCATCCTACCCAACCCTGTCTAGAAAGGATGGAGAAGGAAGCAAGCCTCCCGGTTGCCTTAGTTACCAGGAAGCGGTGGTGTAAGGGGCGTGGCAGAGAGCTGACCAATGGCTTCCCGAGCCTCTCCGGTTGCCATGACAATGTTGCGCCTTGGACAGGTGGGCTCTTAGGAAAATCCCTGGATTGGTGGGCGTGTGTGTGTGTGTGTGTGTGTGTGTGTGTGTGTGTGTGTGTGTGTCGCGCGCGCGTGCGTGTGTGTGGTTTGGATTTTTTTTTTTTTTTTGATGTCCCGACCCAGTGGGGGTTGCAGGTAGAAGAGGAACGCAGAGCTGGTTACGAGCGCTTCCGGTTCTTTCTTCACTCCCAAATACATGATCTCTTGACACAAAGGGAAAAGTCCTACGCAGGCTAGCAGGGCGCCCACGAGAGCTCCTTAAAGCCCCTCTTGGTACTAAGAAGCTGAGAGTCTTCAGCCCTGGCATTAAGGAGACCATAAACCTGAATTCTCCCAAACTCTTGTGGAAACGATGGGAGGGATGCCCTGGAGGAACGCGTTCCTGGTGACCGTTCCCCACCAAAAAATGCTGAAGGCCTGGTGCGCGGCTGCTGTCCGTGGTGCTGAAGAGACCGCACTCCCAGCGTCCAGCCTTCACACCCGCCAGGGCGTGCACCCACGCAGCCTAGACAGACTTTGGTCCGCTTTGGTGTGGCCACAAGGGAGTGAGGGCTCGTGGAATGTTTGTGGATGTTGCGCGGGAAATGGGGTCAGTACCATTTAGGCCTTACACCCACACAGGACAGTCGGAAGGTTTCAGAACCAGGATCTATCCTTGATCTTATTATTCCGCGGGGCTTCAAAAAAAAAAAAAAAAAAAAAGAGTGCTTGTGGAGGTTCTGGCTGTGGAGGCATATTTGATTTGAATCCTCTGTTCTTTCCTTTTACTTTCGTGGCCTTTAGCAGGCGACAAGGCTGTGATGGCTCCTTGCCTCATTTTTCTCATTTGTGAGATTTATTTTGTTATAGATGTATGGATGATAGCGTTTGAAAGAGTATTTAGCTTAGATGCCTAGTGCATAGACAGTTCTAACAAAACACACTGGGCATGGTGGTATATTATTATAATCCAGCACTGGGGTGGTGGAGGTAGGAGGATGGAGAAAGTTTCAGGCTACAAAGCAAAACTCTTCTCTCCCCTTCGGAAACACAGTGTTAGCTGTTTGGGATTTTGTTTTGAGACAAAGCCCATCTGCTTCTTGTGTGCTGGGATTACAGGCATGAGCCATCATAGACGGCTTTCTTACCCTTTTTCTTTCTGGCGTGTATGTGTGTGTGTGTGTGTGTCTGTGTGTGTGTGTGTGTGTGTGTGTGTGTGTGTGTGTGTGTGTGTGT